GTCTGTCCCTCAGTAACAATTCTGTGTCCCTCCCTAAGTAACAATTCTGTGGCCCTCAAGTAACAATTCTGTGTCCCTACCCCCGTAACAATTCTGTAGGTCCCTCAGTAACAATTCTGGTCCCTCAGTAACAATTCTGTGTCCCCTGAGAAACAATTCTGTGTGTCCCTCAGTAACAATTCGGTGTGGTCCCTGAGTAACAATTCTGTGTCCCTGAGTAACAATTCTGTGCTGTCCCTCGAGTAACAATTCTCTGTCCCTCCCTCAGTAACAATTCTGTGTCCCGCTCAGTAACAATTTTCCTCTCCCCAAGTAACAATTCTGTGTCCCTAAGTAACAAGTTTTTCTGTCCCATCCCTCAGTAACAAATTCTGTGTCCCTGAGTAACAATTCTGTGTCTGTCCCTGAGTAACAATTCTGTCCCTGTAACGTTTCTGTGTCCCTGAGTAACAATTCTGTGTCCCTCAGTAACAATTCTGTGTCCCTCAGTAACAATTCTGTGTCCCTCAGTAACAATTCTGTGTCCCTCAGTAACAATTCTGTCCCTCAGTAACAATTCTGTGTCTGTCCCTGAGTAACAATTCTGTGTCCCTGAGTAACAATTCTGTGTCCCTCAGTAACAATTCTGTGTCCCTCAGTAACAATTCTGTGTGTCCTCAGTAACAATTCTGTGTCTGTCCCTGAGTAACAATTCTGTGTCTGTCCCCTAAGTAACAATTCTGTGTCCCTGAGTAACAATTCTGTGGCCCTCAGTAACAATTCTGTGTCCCTCAGTAACAATTCTGTGTCCCTCAGTAACAATTCTGTGTCCCTCAGTAACAATTCTGTGTCTGTCCCTGAGTAACAATTCTGTGTCCCTCAGTAACAATTCTGTGTCCCTCAGTAACAATTCTGTGTCCCTCAGTAACAATTCTGTGTCCTCAGTAACAATTCTGTGTCCCCTGAGTAACAATTCTGTGTCCCTGAGTAACAATTCTGTGTCCCTGAGTAACAATTCTGTGTCCCTCAGTAACAATTCTGTGTCCCTCAGTAACAATTCTGTGTCTGTCCCTGAGTAACAATTCTGTGTCCCTCAGTAACAATTCTGTGTCCCTCAGTAACAATTCTGTGTCCCTGAGTAACAATTCTGTGTCCCTCAGTAACAATTGTGTCTGTCCCTGAGTAACAATTCTGTGTAACCTGTGTCCCTGAGTAACAATTCTGTGTCCCTGAGTAACAATTCTGTGTCTGTCCCTGAGTAACAATTCTGTGTCTGTCCCTGAGTAACAATTCTGTGTCTGTGTCCCTCAGTAACAATTCTGTTCTGTGTCCCTCAGTAACAATTCTGTGTCCCTGAGTAACAATTCTGTGTCCCTCAGTAACAATTCTGTGTCCCTCAGTAACAATTCTGTGTCCCTGAGTAACAATTCTGTGTCCCTCACCCTGAGTAACAATTCTGTGTCCCTCAGTAACAATTCTGTGTCCCTCAGTAACAATTCTGTGTCTGTCCCTGAGTAACAATTCTGTGTGTCTGTCCCTGAGTAACAATTCTGTGTCCCTCAGTAACATTCTGTCTCAGTGTCTGTGTCCCTGAGTAACAATTCTGTGTCTGTCCCCCTGAGTAACAATTCTGTGTCCCTCAGTAACAATTCTGTGTCCCTCAGTAACAATTCTGTGTCCCTCAGTAACAATTTCTGTGTCCCTGAGTAACAATTCTGTGTCCCTGAGTAACAATTCTGTGTCCCTGAGTAACAATTCTGTGGCCCTAAGTAACAATTCTGTGCCCTCAGTAACAATTCTGTGTCCCTCAGTAACAATTCTGTGTCTGTCCCTAAGTAACAATTCTGTGGCCCTAAGTAACGTTTCTGTGGCCCTAAGTAACAATTCTGTGTCCCTCTGTTTAACTGTGTCCCTAAGTAACAATTCTGTGTCCCCCTAAGTAACAATTCTGTGGTCCCCTAAGTAACAATTCTGTGGTCCCTGAGTAACAATTCTGTGTGGCCCTCAGTAACAATTCTGTGTCCCTCAGTAACAATTCTGTGTCCCCCAGTAACAATTCTGTGTCTGTCCCTGAGTAACAATTCTGTGTCCCTAAGTAACAATTCTGTGTCTGTCCCTGAGTAACAATTCTGTGTCCCTAAGTAACGTTTCTGTGCCCTCAGTAACAATTCTGTGGTCCCTCAGTAACAATTCTGTGTCCCTCAGTAACAATTCTGTGTGTCCCTAAGTAACAATTCTGTGTCCCTAAGTAACGTTTCTGTGGCCCTAAAGTAACAATTCTGTGTCCCTAAGTAACAATTCTGTGTCTGCCCTCAGTAACAATTCTGTGTCCCTAAGTAACAATTTGTGTCTGTGGCCCTAAGTAACAATTCTGTGTCCCTCAGTAACAATTCTGTGTCCCTCAGTAACAATTCTGTGTCTGTCCCTGAGTAACAATTCTGTGTCCCTAAGTAACAATTCTGTGTGTCCCTCAGTAACAATTCTGTGTCCCTGAGTAACGTTTCTGTGGTCCCTAAGTAACAATTCTGTGTGGCCCTCAGTAACAATTCTGTGTCCCTCAGTAACAATTCTGTGTCCCTAAGTAACAATTCTGTGGCCCTAAGTAACAGTAACAATTCTGTGTCCCTAAGTAACAATTCTGTGGCCCTAAGTAAAGTAACGTTTCTGTGGCCCTCAGTAAATTTCTGTGGCCCTAAGTAACGTTTCTGTGCCCTAAGTAACAATTCTGTGCCCCTCAGTAACAATTCTGTGTCCCTGTCCCTCAGTAACAATTCTGTGTCCCCTAAGTAAACAATTTCTGTGGCCCTAAGTAAATTCTGTGGCCCTAAGTTTTCTGTGGCCCTCAGTAACAATTCTGTGTCCCTCAGTAACAATTCTGTCTGTCCCTAAGTAACAATTTCTGTGTCCCTAAGTAACGTTTCTGTGGCCCTAAGTAACGGTTTCTGTGGCCCTCAGTAACAATTCTGTGTCCCTCAGTAACAATTCTGTGTCTGTCCCTAAGTAACAATTCTGTGGCCCTAAGTAACGTTTCTGTGGCCCTAAGTAACGTTTCTGTGGCCCTAAGTTTCTGTGGCCCTAAGTAACAATTCTTCTGCCCTAAAGTAACTGTTTCTGTAGGCCCTAAGTAACAATTCTTCTGTGCCCTAAGTAACGTTTCTGTGGCCCTAAGTAACGTTTCTGTGGCCCTAAGTAACAGTTCTGTGGCCCTCAGTAACAATTCTGTGTCCCTCAGTAACAATTCTGTGTCTGTCCCTGAGTAACAATTTCTGTGTCCCTAAGTAACGTTTCTGTGGCCCTAAGTAACGGTTTCTGTGGCCCTCAGTAACAATTCTGTGTCCCTCAGTAACAATTCTGTGTCTGTCCCTAAGTAACAATTCTGTGTCCCTAAGTAACGTTTCTTCTAACGTTTTCTGGCCCTAAGTAACGTTTCTGTGGCCCTAAGTAACGATTCTGTGTCCCTCAGTAACAATTCTGTGTGTCCCTCAGTAACAATTCTGTGTCTGTCCCTGAGTAACAATTCTGTGTCCCTAAGTAACGTTTCTGTGGCCCTAAGTAACAGTTCTGTGGCCCTCAGTAACAATTCTGTGTCCCTCAGTAACAATTCTGTGTCCTGTCCCTAAGTAACAATTCTGTGGCCCTAAGTAACGTTTCTGTGGCCCTAAGTAACAATTCTGTGGCCACTAAGTAACGTTTCTGTGGCCCTAAGTAACAGTTCTGTGGCCCTCAGTAACAATTCTGTGGCCCTCAGTAACAATTCTGTGTCTGTCCCTGAGTAACAATTCTGTGTCCCTAAGTAACGTTTCTGTGGCCCTAAGTAACGGTTCTGTGGCCCTCAGTAACAAATCTGTGTCCCTCAGTAACAATTCTGTGTCTGTTCCTAAGTAACAATTCTGTGTCTGCCCTAAGTAACGTTTCTGTGGCCCTAAGTAACAGTTTCTGTGGCCCTAAGTAACGATTCTGTGTCCCTCAGTAACAATTCTGTGTCTGTCCCTAAGTAACAATTCTGTGTCTGTCCCTGAGTAACAATTCTGTGTCCCTAAGTAACGTTTCTGTGGCCCTAAGTAACAGTTCTGTGGCCCTCAGTAACAATTCTGTGTCCCTCAGTAACAATTCTGTGTCTGTCCCTAAGTAACAATTCTGTGGCCCTAAGTAACGTTTCTGTGGCCCTAAGTAAACAGTTCTGTGGCCCTCAGTAACAATTCTGTGTCCCTCAGTAACAATTCTGTGTCTGTCCCTAAGTAACAATTCTGTGCCCTAAGTAACGTTTCTGTGGACCTAAGTAAAGTTTCTGTGGCCCTAAGTAACGATTCTGTGTCCCTCAGTAACAATTCTGTGTCTGTCCCTAAGTAACAATTCTGTGTCTGTCCCTGAGTAACAATTCTGTGTCCCTAAGTAACGTTTCTGTGGCCCTAAGTAACAGTTCTGTGGCCCCTCAGTAACAATTTCTGTGTCCCTCAGTAACAATTCTGTGTCTGTCCCTAAGTAACAATTCTGTGGCCCTAAGTAACGTTTCTGTGGCCCTAAGTAACAGTTCTGTGGCCCTCAGTAACAATTCTGTGTCCCTCAGTAACAATTCTGTGTCTGTCCCTAAGTAACAATTCTGTGGCCCTAAGTAACGTTTCTGTGGCCCCTAAGTAACAGTTTCTGTGGCCCTCAGTAACAATTCTGTGTCCCCTCAGTAACAATTCTGTGTGTCTGTCCCTAAGTAACAATTCTGTGGCCCTAAGTAACGTTTCTGTGTCCCTAACTAACGTTTCTATGTCCCTAAGTAACGTTTCTGTGTCCTAACTCTCTCCCTGAATACAGCCAGGTCTGCCTCTGTTGAATGACTGGAGGCAAATGGAGAATTCTAAAATGGCCGCCATTTATAGCTCAACCATTACACAGTGCTGGCTGGCTGGCTGGCTGATTGGCTAATGCGATCACATGTCATGAATGAATGCATTATGGGTCAGCGCGCCTTGTCTGCGCGCCTTCCCAGACATGCCCCCGCTCCGTCGCCGCACATGTCGCCCGCCGCCATTTTAGGAAAAATTTCGAATTTTTCTAATATTCGAAGCGAATTCCACTTCGCCTACTTCGATTCGCTCATCTCTAATAGTTAGTCTGGCTGAAAAAAAAGACAAAAGTTCATCTTATTGAACTAGTGGATGCTGAAAACATCCTGTGTACAGGCTTCATATCTGTTGTGGAGGATTCACAATTGACACATTTGATTTCCATCACAACACTTAGTTGGACACATTTATCAAGCACTATATTGTATGAGCTATAATTTGCAAGCATGTTATTTGTTTTATATAATGTAGACCATTTTGGTCCAGTTTTTGATTATTTTTGCACTGTTGCACTGTTTGAGATTTTTGTCATTTTAGCAAACTATTGATAGCATTTCATATGATTTATGTCACTTTACGTAATTTTTTATGGTATTTGAGTAGTGCACCATATTTGTTCCTTTATGGACAAGTATTGTTACTTACCCTGGATGTTGGGGTACAAAAGCATGTATATTAGTGCCCACCTCAAGGTGGTACTTGTAGTCCCTGTCCCAGCAGTAAATAAATCATATGTTGAATACAAGAGATTCCTTTCAGTAAAACTAGACTCACTCTCCTTTTCCTACAGTAAGAGAAACATTAGAAATAAAAATATAAGATTATACACAGCATCATCTTGTTTTACATTATGTTTTAATTTACCAACAGACAATGAAAAGTCTTTAAAGTGTTAGAATTTTCTTATTGCAGACTTACAAAAAAATATATGTAAGGAAATGGGAAAAGGCTCAATCTTTTGACAATATAGACCTCTAAAAAAGAAACATTAAAATGACAAAACATTTTTTTACATCAATTGCTTTAATATATCAAGTATACCATGCTCTTTTTTTTTTTTAGTCTCTAACTATTGTTTTGAGCCTTCTTTTCTTCTCTTTTTGTCCTGTATACACTCCCTATCCTCCACCATTGCACCTCACAGCAGGCAGTGCCATTCTTTCTAGTCACATGCTCCTCCCTATGTGTACTACAGTTCCCATAGAACTAAATTTTTCTGCAGATAGATGTGCAGTCCATCTCGGGGGCAAGCAGGAAAGGGTGGCTATATTCACATACACAGAGAAAAACAAACATTGCCACCCTAGAACTGGAAATCTGAAAACAGCAGAAAAAAAGCTTGCATTTGAAAGAAGAAACAAAGGAGAAGAGAGATAAAAGGTACATTCTACTTATTATATGAGTATATATAATACACCTTATATAGGTACATTATACTTTATTCTCTTTTATAAAAAAATTTGAGTTTAGTGGCACTTTATCTATTTACCACCTGTAGGCAGCACACATACATTCTTGGGTTGAAGTAGTAATACTAGGAGCATGGCTGCAGCTGCATTCATGACCACAGTATCAGTGATTTCAGCTGGTGATGCTGAATACAGGTAAAGCGATCCAAGCAGCTGAATATCTGCGGGATCACTTTTGTATGTGGCCAAATTTGGTCCTCCCACTCCATCCGCTTTCCACCACCTTCCTGGGCTCTCTTGTTCCACTGGGGAGCCCAAACGTGAAACCAACAGTTCTGCTGGCATACCATAGAGATGACCAAGGACCAGAATGTTCCCAATCATTTGTATGGTCTAAGAACCTGGAAGTGACGAGTATTTTTTCACTTTCAGGTTCGGTCTAATGCAAAGAGGCCATTACTAGCCTGTGAAAGCATCTGATCAAACCGATCTGAGTTTGATCAGATGCTTTTAGGGGCAGAGGAGATATCTGGGGTCTAATATACCCTAGATGTCTCAGTAACGAGTACCTGTCCCTGCCCATGCTATCACAAGGGATGCTGTTCATCCCTTGTGATAGCAATAAAAGCTATAAAAAAATAAATAAAGAGCATGTGTAAAAATTAAAAAATGCAAATAAATAATAAAATTAATATATAGTGCCTTAGTCCCCCCATGCTCATGCGCAAAGGCGAAAGCATACATAGGTTCCACAAGCATATGTAAATGGTGATCGCAGCACATATGTGAGGTATTGTCACAAACGTTATAGGTAGAGCAATAATCTTAGCACCAGCCCTCCTATGTAACTGTAAGCTGGTAACCTATAAAGGTTTTTAAAGCATTTTTTTTAAGTACCGTAGTTTTGTCGCCATTTCACGGGTATACACATTTTTTTATAGTTTTGACATGTTAGGTATCTATTTACTTGGCATAACATCATCTTTTATATTGTACCAAACAATTGAGCAATATATTGTGTTTTGTGCATTATAATTCATTATAGTGTATTTTGTCCAAAGAAAATTGCTTGAAAAACTGTTGCGCATCTGCAAAAACCACCGCCATTTTATTCTCTAGGGTCTTTGCCTAAAGAAATGTATAATTTTTTGGTGGTTCTAAGTAATTTTCTAGCAATAAAATACTGATTTTTACATGTAAGAGAGAAATGTCAAAATTTGTTCCTAGGGGTTAATGTGGTTGTAAAGGCAGAAGATTTTTACCTTACTCTGTTCTATGGAGTGAGGTAGGAAAACCTTCTCCATGCAGCTTCTCCTGCAGCCCTCCTAAATAATTAACTGAGCCCAATCTCCATCCACTGATGTGCACAAGAGCCAAGACCCTCTCGGCTCTGCCTCTGCTCACTGGCTCAGATAAAGCAGCGGGAGCCATTGGCTGTCAATCACAGCCTGTGACAAGGGAACTGGGGGTGGGTCCAAGCCGTGCTCTCTGTGTCTTGTGGACACACAGAGCGGGGTTAGGAGCGAGCATGCCCCCATAGCAGGTAAGAATTACATATTTGTTGTGTTAACAAAAAAACAGACCTCTACTATTACTTTAAGTAGTCAAGCCAAAACATAATAATCATTATCAAATACCTACTTGTTCACACATGTTTGCCTTTTGTGGTCCAGGTTTGGCTATAAAAACAGTTTTTATGTATTTATTTATTACAGCTGTGTACAAAGGTATCTAAAAGCCTGGTTCCAGTTTGTATGTCTAACTTATGGTTAACTTTTCATATTAACCCACAGGTGACTGGTTGCTAGGACCGAACTAGCAATCAATCACCTGTGGGTTAATATGAAAAGTTAATTTAGCCAGCTCCTCCTCCTGTCCTCTGTCCTGAGCCGTGCTGTCTTCCGCTCTCTGCTGCGCACTGAGAATACAGTTGTGTCCAAAATTATTCAACCCCCAATGCTGTAAAGGGGTTTAGGGACTATAGTGTACATTTGGAATTGTATTCAGAATCAAATCCTACAAGGACGTTGTAACTACCCAAATGCAACTAAAATGACATCAATTGTTTATGTAATACAGTAGTAAATGGTTCTTATGTGGTTTCTTCATTGCCACAATTATTCAACCCCTTAAAGACTACCACTCTGAAGAACAGAAGGTTCATACAGGTGCTTTCCATCAGGTATTGAAAACACCTGTGGATGTCACCGAGCAGCAATCAAGCATAATAAGCACCAATTAGGCAGCTTTAAAATGACTGTGATACTCAGCTCCTTCTAGACATTTACTGGTGTGGTTACAAACATGGTGAAGGCAAGAGAATGGTCCAGGAAGACAAGAGAAGAGGTGATTTCTCTTCACAGGAAGGGCAATGGCTATAAGAAGATTGCAAAGATGTTAAACATACCAAGAGACACCTTAGGAAGCATCATTCGCAAATTCAAGGCAAAGGGCACTGTTGAAACGCTACCTGGTCGTGGCAGAAAGAAGATGCTGACTTCGACTGCTGTGCGCTACCTGAAGCGTAGAGTGGAGAGAAGTCCCCGTGTGACTGCTGAGGAACTGAGAAAAGATTTGTCAGATGTGGGTACAGAAGTTTCAGCCCAGACAATAAGACGCACACTGCGTAATGAAGGCCTCCGTGCCAGAACTCCCAGGCGTACCCCCTTGCTGTCTCCAAAGAATAAGAAAGAGTCGACTGCAGTATGCCAAAAGCCATGTGGACAAACCACAAAAGTTGTGGGATAGTGTTCTGTGGACTGATGAAACAAAATTAGAACTGTTTGGGCCCATGGATCAACGCTATGTTTGGAGGAGGAAGAACAAGGCCTATGATGAAAAGAACACCTTGCCTACTGTGAAGCATGGTGGAGGGTCAATCATGCTTTGGGGCTGTTTTGCTTCTGCAGGTACAGGGAAGCTTCAGCGTGTGCAAGGTACCATGAATTCTCTTCAGTACCAGGAGATATTGGATGGAAACGTGATGCAGTCCGTCACACACCTGAGGCTTGGGAGACGTTGGACCTTTCAACAGGACAATGATCCCAAGCATACCTCCAAGTCCACTAGAGCATGGTTGCAGAGGAAAGGCTGGAACATTTTGGAGTGGCCATCGCAGTCACCAGACTTAAATCCGATTGAGAACCTCTGGTGGGACTTAAAGAAAGCAGTTGCAGTGCGCAAGCCTAAGAATGTGACTGAACTGGAGGCCTTTGCCCATGAAGAATGGGCGAAGATACCCGTAGATCGCTGCAAGACACTTGTGTCAAGCTATGCTTCACGTTTTAAAAGCTGTTATAACTGTAAAAGGATGCTGTACTAAGTACTAAGATTGAATGTCACTTGGGGGTTGAATAAAACTGATAATGCTGTGAGCACAGAAAAGACATTTGTGGTTATTTCATTATAACTGTTATGTTATATTTGTCTGACCTACAAGTGCCTCTTTAATGTAAATGTAAGCAAGATGACTGAATGATCAAAAGCAATGTCAAACTGGCCAAAACACTCAATTTCTGTGGGGGTTGAATAACTGGCCCCTTTCTCCTCCCCCCAAGCAATGTCCTCTGCCTCCTTTCCCCCATAGCAGTGACCTCTGCCCCCCCCCCCCCAGCAATGTCCTCTTTCCCCCTTACCCCCATAGCAGTGACTTCTAGCCCCCCTCTCCCCAACAAGCAATTTCCTCTCCCCCCCTTCCCTCCCATGGACAGGTATTTTAAAAATCTGAACTTGCAGCAAGTGGCTGGGGATCGGGATTAAGCAAGTGGCTGGGGATCGCCTTAGGGCAGCAGGGTAGCTGGGGGGCAGAACAATCCCAATCCCCAGCCACTTGCTGGGAGTTCAGATTTTTAAAATACCTGCCTTCTGATGATCCCCTTTATTGTCCTCCTGGAGCATCTCCTCTTTGCCCTCCCACTAGCGTAGTTGCTGCAGGAGAAAAATCCAGGGGATTGGTTCTCATAAACTCCTCCCCCGCTGCCCCTCCTGTCCTTGTTCCTTCTTTTTTCTGCTGCCTGGCCCTTCCCCAAGTACTCCCTTTTCAACAGGGCTCCTAAAAAAATTGTGGAAAATATTAAAAATTAAAAATGTAAAAATAAAAACTACTGACACCATCCACTGCCCTACTGACACCAACCTCTGCCCTACTGACACCATCCACTGCTCTACTGACTGACTCCAACCTCTGCCCTACTGACACCATCCACTGCTCTGCTGACTGACACCATCCACTGCTCTACTGACGCCGTCCACTGCCCTACTGACTGACACCATCCACTACCCTACTGACTGACACTGTCCATTTTTAAGGTAAGCTAAGTTTGTATTTTTACAGTGACATTTGTTTTATTATATTTTTCTACATTTTACTCACTATTTAGTTAGGTCTTGCTAGTTTTTTTTTTTTTTTAAAATGGCATTGAACCCCGGTGATCTTTGATCTCTTTCATGTTGTTCAGGTAGATCTCCACCTCTCAAAGGTTGCCTACCCCTGCCCTAGTACAAGCTTGCAAAGTAGTAAAGTGATAAAATGAGAAGAGGAAAGAAAAAACTCTGTAACCCAACAATATGAAGAGTTATTAGAAGGTTCCCCACTGTAAAGACTATATTATGGTTAGCTCTGTCTCCCTTTCCACCACTTCCTCCTGTTTAATCTGTACTGTGCACCTTCTTTACTCTTAAGTTGTACCATTTTATTTTACCTTTTCCATTTCTAGTAAATAAGCATCAATGAAATCACGAATATAATTGGGGTTATAGGTGTTCTTGTGTTCTGAAATTATTTCCTTTAAGAATGCCATTGCATCACGATCTGGTTTAAGAACAAAATCAGCTAGCCATGGAATATTCAACAGCCAAGGAATTTCATTTAGAACCTAAAAAATAAAACCAAAACAGATCATTTTTTCTGCTTTATAATTAATAATATGAAAACAAAATTTTCTACAAACCTTTTTCTGCTTATTATTTTGGCTCATGGAAGTAATCACAGTATTTGGGATCTTGTGCATGACCTTAATCTCTTGTATATTGTAATCTAGCAAGCTGACATGCTTTTGAAGTTTAATGCTCCAGGATGCACACGTGTTCATGCTTCACTGCCTAATGAGCCACCAATGCTGGGGAAGCATATACAGATCAAGTTTCCTGACACCTGATGTGCTCATGTTTCTTCCAGGTAGTTATTCACCAAGTTGTGAATAAAGAATAAATATAACAACCCAGGAGCTTAAAAAATCAGTAATAGCAGCTCTCATATATCAGACCTAATAGGTCAAAAGTAACATGGAATCCTGTAGGGTGGGAGGTGTGCTTTCCTTTCTACTTCTGAGGGTAGATCTACTAACCAAACTATAGAGGTGTTACTCTGTATGACGTGAGTGCTTTATGCAGCATGAATGCTATATTGATAAAGGCAAACTGCTCCATCTTTCCTCTCCTTCCTGTACACACTATGCTACTGGATGGACAAGCATATCACCACTGCTGCTTCTAATGGCTGGTGGAGAGTGAACAATTGAACCCTATTTGTAGAGTAGGTGCCAGCACCATCTCAGTAGGTAGTTTGGTGTTGTATTTTGAGGGCATACATAAAAATAGGTTCTGTCAATAAGACTGGGATCTAATCTTCACCCTCTGAGGGGCTTCCAATTCAGATGGAAACTCCTAATGTTCTTTCTGCCATTTCCTTTCTAAAACAACACATACCATATGCCTTAAAGACTTGGGCTTCTGTGTAGTTTGAGTGCATGACGCAAATGTTATTCATAAGTAACCTATAATAAAAGTCTATACAGGTGTAAAGCCTATACAGTGGATTTTGGGTTGAAATTTTATTTTGGTATAAACATTGATCCTAATACTCATATAGATACTGTATATAGCCTTTAGAAAAAGTTTAAAGTGGAAGTCCTGGCTCTAACTAACTAAGCCTAAAAAAGCTCACAACCACCTTCTAATTGCTATACTAACTACCCTGTAGAGGGAAGATATATATGCTTACCTGTTCGCAAAGCTCTCCAGTCCTGTCCCGTAATCTCCCCAGTGGCTGACTACAGGGGAGAGAAGAGAGCATTGACAATGGCTGAAATGTCCATACGCTTGTGGACTGTCCCTCCTCCGCCTGAAGCTACCACTGGGAGCCGATCACATGACCGGACCAGAGTGCCCTAATAATAGGTATGTACAAGCATTCTTCTTCTACAGGGTAGTGAGGATAGGTGTTTAGAAAGTGGATGGGTGCTTTAGGCTAGAGCCTGGACATCCACTTTATCTGAAGAAGTAGATTTTGCTTCAGGAAATACATCAGAAACTGTTTTAATTTTGCTATTTCACACGAGTATACACCTCTTAGCAATCTAAAAAAAATGTCTATCTAAAAACTCTCTTATGGAATGTAATTTGATTATGAAATATCATGGACAACCATGTGGCAATAATCATGAACATATAAGAAGATAAATTGCCTTTTTTATAATATATTTTTCAGATATGTTAATAAAAAAATACATGGTTTTAATTTTAATCAATGCATGAAAGAAAGTGTATCCTAAACTATAGCAAAAAAGCCCTTTCCACCTTTGGAATATGAACCTTAAAAGTCCACCCATTGTAAAAGAAAAATGAAATGCATCCTTATTTGCGGAATATAAATGTACATTAATAATTGGCGGACTGCTGTTGCAATTCAAAGCCCCTTCAGACTCTTTCTCCAGACTACAGGCTCCAGGTATTGACCTTCAGTTATAGAAATGGACTACAAAAGTGGAGATCACAGCACTTGTTTTCTATTGCCAACTACAAATCCCTCTGTCGCATTGGCATATGGCAGGGGTGGGCAACTGCGGCCCTCCAGCTGCTGTTGAACTACATGTCCCATGAAGCACTGCAAGACTGACAGTTTAAATCATGACTCCTAGAGGCATAAGAATGGTGGGACTTGTAGTTCTGAAACAGTTGGAGGGCCACAGTTGCCCACCCCTGGCATATGGGATTTGTATTTTAGTCATTCACAGATCTCTGTGAATGAATGATGCAACGGTATCAGGAGAGCAACACACAGCTGGGCAAAATTCAAAAAGTGACAGGAGCCGCCAAGCAGAAGAACCCCTGTGATCATGCCAGAGGGGGAAGTTGCTTCAGGAGTACGAGGGAGGGGGGAGGGGAGCATGCTTGACACCATATTACATAATAAATATGGAAAGGTGGAGTTAGCTTTTACCTAACATTAGAAAGGTAGCCTTGGTAGCAGTGATAATTAACCCCCTCCTGCCCAGCCCTGGCATCCCTTTAGAGGAGTCTTTATGACAGGGGGCAGAAAGGATCGGCCGATCAGTCTAGGATTGATGAATATATAGTACCTGGGCCATAAATCCAGAATCAGACTCTAAGGCTGCATCCAGTAGATGTAGAAGTTTTTGAAATTTTGCATCATCATATTCAAATCGATCTCCAAATGTTATGGAACAGATGACATTGCTAACTGCATTATCAATGAGGTAATGAGGATCAAATGGATGACCTAAGAAACAAGTAACATACAGCCATTAGATATATTTTATAGCCAAAATAAAAAGCTGTCTGTATCAAAATATACTGCAGTGGAAAGTAGCATATCATACTGTATGTGTACATATTGAGCACCATCATCTATGGAGTGCACAAGGTCCAAGATCCAGAAGAGTGGCCAAATTATCTAGCCACGTCCTAGTCAGTTAGAATAGCATAAATCCAGTGCCATGGATTTTCTGTTTAAAGTGGTTTTAAAACTCAGTAATGAAATCTGAACAAAGCACATACAGTTGTGTTCAAAATAATAGCAGTCAGACATCACTAACCTGATCAATCACTGTTTTTGGTAGAAATGATATTTCTACATGGCAAATAATTTACTAGCAGGTGTAGTAGAGTAATAGAAATCCAACAGACCCAACAGTCATGACATGTATGCTGCTGATTCTGTGTAATGGAATCACTAATTGAAAGGGGCATGTTCAAAATAATAGCAGTGTGGCGTTCTATTAGTGAGGTCATTCATTCTTTGAAAAACAGGTGGCAATTATTGCCCTTATTTAAGGAAGGAAGGCAGCAAATGTTGTACATGCTGGTTACAGTGCATTTCTCTCTGAAATTCTGAGGAAAATGGGTCGATCCAGACATTGTTCAGAAGAACAGCGTACCTTGATTAAAAAGTTGATTGGAGAGGGGAAAACATATAAAGAAGTGCAGAAAATGATAGGCTGCTCAGCTAAAATGATCGCAAATGCTTTAAAATGGCAACCAAAACCTGAAAGACGTGGAAGAAAGCAAAAAACTACCATTCGAATGGATAAAGAGAAATGGCGCAACATTTTGTGGACTGATGAAAGTAAGATTGTTCTTTTTGGGTCTAGTGGCCTGAGACAGTTTATCAGACGACCCCCAAACACTGAATTCAAGCCACAGTACACTGTGAAGACAGTGAAGCATGGTTGCGCAAGCATCATGATATGGGGATGTTTCTCATACTACGGTGTTGGGCCTATTTATCGCATACCAGGAATCATGGATCAGTATGAATACATCAGAATACTTGAAGGTTATTCTGCCTTATGCGGAAGAGGAAATGCCCTTGAAATGGGTGTTCCAACAAGACAACGACCCCAAACACACCAGTAAACGTGCAACATCTTGGTTCCAGACCAACAAGATTGATGTTATGGAGAGGCCAGCCCAATCCCCGGATCTTAATCCAATAGAAAACTTGTGGGGTGACATCAAAAATGCAGTTTCTGAGGCAAAACCAAGAAATAGAGAAGAACTGTGGAATGTAGTCCAATCATCCTGGGCTGGAATACCTGTTCACAGGTGCCAGAAGTTAGTTGACTCCATGCAACACAGATGTACAGCAGTTCTCAGAAACAGTGCTTATACAACTAAATATTAATTAAGTGATTCAAAGGAAAGCAAAATCTTCAAACATTTTTCAGTTTATATAGTGAATGTTTGAGTCTGCAATTTTTTTTGAACAGTCTAATATTCACTTTTCTTCAATTTTTTTTAGAGGAACAACACAAATTTGATATATTTTTATTCATGTTTTGATTTGGAATAGAATGTGTAGTGTTCCCAATGCATTTGTGTGTATGGAAATAAAAGCTATTAGAAGGATTTTGAGCTTTATTCACTTTTTTCAACACACTGCTATTATTTTGAACACAAATGTATATATCTGTAGTGTTTACTTGTCTCTCTCCAAAGCTCTAAGTGTTGTTTCTCTCTGGTGCTTCCTTCCTCTGTTATCAGCATGTGTTGCTTCTGAAAAGTTTTCCAGGCACATGAGATACATTTGTGATGGGGCTAGGAGCTCAGCACACAATTTATCTACTCACAACACATCTTTGCATGTTCATTTGTAACTGTGTGCTGTGTGGAGGGGGGGTGTCCCTTTCCTCCAATCTGCTCTCACACACTTTACAAGAGCTCTAACTGCAGCTCTCCATCCCCTCCTCTGTGTTCCTGACAGACAAAGAAGGATTATATCACAATTATGCACTTTTGAAGCAATGTAGAGAAGAGAAGATTGCAGATAAACAAGTAAAACGTATGTAGGAGGATTTGTTTCATCTCTGTGTATCATCTGAGGCCAGTCACTTCACTTGGTATATGAGAGACTTTACAACCACTTTAAGGCAGCCACCAGCAAAACGAGGGAGTGAGGATATCGGCATCATGTCAGATTCAGATGCACAGGTTGCAAACTCACTGCTTTCAAACCCAAAGACTTCAGGATAGGAAGTGACAGAAAGTTTTAGACATGACAGATTCCAGTATTTTGATTATGACAGGTGTAAGGAATGTCAGACATGATGAGGTCAATATCAAATTGGGCAAACACTATATCAGAGGAATTATAGGGAAGTTTACAGCTTGGATCAGCAAGAAGGGGCATACACCACAGAAATATGGCCTCTAGAGATATTTTTATTCTGACGGGAGAGTTCAAAATTGGTAAGAATGGGTGGTCCATCTAATAAAATAACTTTTGAGCGAATAAAAGAGGTGGTTGGATTATGTCTAAAGATTTCGGTGGGGGGCATTTGCAGTTTCTATTTAAAGTGCTGGAGAGGGTAAATTCAGGCACCCCAGAGGTAGTCTCCTATCCGCAGTAACCTCTTGTTCATCCACCAGTGGAATGGGGCCAGAACCAGACCAGGTACAAATTCAGGGTTACAAAAAGCAGGGGCTAAAGGTGTGTGTGAGGAGGCCAATGGTTTGCGATGGCGTACTGTATCCTAGACTGTCAATGAGAAAGATAGAGTGGGACATAATATAGGATGGCGAGATCAATTAGGGAGCCAAAGTAGGGAACTTTAGGGACTGCTGAAGGATGACAGGAAAGAGCTTCAATAGAAACCCAGAGGGGAGGTAGATCCTATAGTGGTAGTATTGGCCCATTGCACAATTTGGGCTGCTTGGAAATATGCTTGAAGATTAAAAAGGCCAATCCCACCATGGGATTTTAAAGTGTATAATATCTTCTGATTCAACTGAGGCCTTCGATTGTTCCAAACAAAACAAAGCACCTCTGCCTGTAGGTGCTGCAACTCATGTCTCGGAAATGGTATCGGAAAGGTACTAAAAAAGTACAATAATCGAGGCAAAAACGTCATTTTATTAGAGTTGATTCTTCCAAACCAAGATATGGAGTAAGCAGCCCAACAATGAAAATCTTCCTTAAGTTGTTTGAAAAGAGGGGGATAGTTCGCTTGGTATAGGGTCTCAATTGAAGCTGTCAAGTTAATCCCTAAATAGGGCAAAGAGCTGCATGCCCATTGAAAGTGATATATAGTTCTAAGCTGTTGCTCCATTGAAGAGGGTAAAGAAACATTAAGGGCTGTCGTTTTGTGAAAGTTTAAAGAGAGCCCATAAAGGAAAGAGAACTGGCTCAAAAGAGATAAGAGATTAGGTATGGTGGTCAGAGTGGACGTAACATACTTGAGGACATCGTCATCAAATAAAGCGCATTTATGTTTCTGATGACCACAGTGGACCCCATGGATTCTGGGATTAGAGCAGATCGCCATAGCTAAGGGTTTTATGGCCAATGCAAAGAGCAGTGGGGAGAGTGAACAACCTTGTCTAGTGCCATGTCAAATTGGGAACACGGGGGATCCGTAACCTCTAATGGACACTTGAGTAAGTGTTGTATAATGACTGCAATAGTGAGAAATGCTGGACCAAAACCAAAAGCTCACAACACCGTAAACAAATATTCCCAGGTTAAGATATCAAAAGCTTTATAGAGGTCCAAAGAAAAAAGCAACAACTCCCGAGAGAGAGGGGCATCCCAATTAGAGTGAACAGCAGAAATCAAAGCTATGGACCTGCAAATCTGATCCAACGTTTGGCGACCCAATATGAAACCTGATTGGTCTTTGTGAACATACTGCGCCAAAAAGGAAATAAGATGCAGGGCCAAAAGTTTCATCAGGATTTTCAGGTCACAATTTATTAGTGAAATAGGCCAATCATTAAGAATATCAGTAGTGTCTTTATTAGGTTTAGGGATAATGTTAATACATGCTTGGTTTTCATCCAAAGGAATCACACGATCTGCTCTCAAGGAATTAAAGTAAAGAGCCATATGAGGGAGAAGTTGTTCAGAGAAGGTTTTATAGTAAACATTTGGTAAACCGTCAGGGCCTGGAGACTTTTGTGACGTTAGCATTTTAATAACTTTACCAAGCTCCTCGCTAGTTATAGGTTGTTCCACAAGTTCCATGTGGGCTTCGGCAAGGGATGGAAACTGCAAGGGACCCAAAAAATCTTGAAGCATAGAAGGCTCAACAGGCTGGGGATGACTGTATAAAGTAGCATAGAAATTATTAAATTCCTGAAGGATCTTTCGAGGATCCTGTGAGATATGACCTCCTGAGAGCTGAAGCTTAGGAAGTGCCAAATAAGTATGCTTGGGGGAAGGTTTACGCACTAAGAGAGAACCCAGTTTTTCTCGCTACATGAAGAATTTATGGTTCATCCATCATAGCTGTTTTTCCCCCTTCGTTGTAAGACAAAGATTACATTCTAAACAAGCCTGTCCCACCTTAAGTAACAAGTCCGGGATTGGAGCATTTTTGTGTTGGGCTAATAAAGCCTCATATTCCTTGGTTTTGACAGAGGTCAACCCTTCTCGATAATGTTTACGTCTAGAGGATAGTTGGATAAAAAAACATCTAATATGGGTTGCCCAGTTAATAGCATGGGTCGTGTCTTCCGCTTTATTAACGGTAGAGTAAGAGTTCAAGTGATCCACTACTTCTAGGCGGATTGACTCAGTGCTAAGAAGGGACTCGTTCAATCGCCAACGTGGCTTGGCCAGATTGGTAGTTAAATTATAGAGTATTAGCAGCACTGGGTCATGATATGACCAGGGTATCAATGCGATTTTAGCCAAACACAATTTGGACAGCAGCTCTGTAGGGAGAAAGATGTGATCTATACGTAAATAATGTGAGCTCTAGAAAAATGAGAATAGTCTCT